GCCATGCTGGCTGGGGAATTCTGGGAGTTGAAGTCCACACATCTTCACGTGGCCAAGGTTGCGAAGCACTGGCTTAGAATGAGATCTCTTTCCTTCTTCACAAAATGTTGCTTTTTCATTTAGCCGTTTCTCCGGTCATGACGGATTGCCTCCTGCTCTTTGTTTTGTTTTATAGCTGACGTGGAAGAAAATTCCTTACGGCGCAGGGATAAGAGGTTGAGTTTGAACTTGGTAAGCGCTGTTTTGTCTTGTTCCCTACCTGTGTGTGTGTGTGTGTGTACGCTCTCTTACACGCACACACTTTACATGGTGGTTTTGGCAGGGCTTGTTTAAAAAAATCAGCACAAGTGGGCAGATCAGTGTAAAACAGAAGTGAGCAGCAGGTCACACAATAAAGCCGCTATAACCATAATTAGATACATTCTCACGCTACCCAAAACTGTGGTTTCCTTAACAATGGTTTGGTGAATAAATTATAAGTTGGCAGGTGACGCTGTCCAGGTTTGTAGGGCATGCTATGCCACAAATGAATAAGCCACATTTTAGCTTAGTATCTGTGTGGATCCAGCCCTTAATCTTTTTGTCCTTCTTAGCCCAAGGGGTGAAAGATGGGCTGGAAGAAGAACCTGGTTTAAGTTTCTTACATTTGGTCCAAGTTGGTGGCCAGATGACCAGAATCTCTGAGATAACAGGGACATCTTGCAGTGTTACCTGAGAAGTTTTCAAGCCTGTGAATCTTGATGAAGCGGGCAACGTTCTGTGGATTGGAACTCTCCCCACCTTGTAAAAACAGAGATTTTGATAGAGGTGATCAGTCAGACCAAAAGACCATCTATTCCAGGGCTGGACGACCCATGACTTTTTATATTCAGTTGGACCAAATCCTGTCACTCCCCGCCAACACAACTGATGGTCAGTGATCTGGAGGAATTTTGGCCAGCCTGATGAGGACCACCATCTTCTTTTCCATGGCAACCAACCAGATACTTCTGGGAAGCCTGCAAGGAAAGATAACTTAATCAAAAATTGAAATCTCACCGAACCTAGCAGGTTCATTTAGCTGTTGTAATACATGGCCATGATAGATCTATGCTTCACTTGGCTGCCAGATCAGGGTTGGGATGTTAAAGCGGGATTTGTAAAGCAAACCATGCTTTTAAATTATGATTCATTGACCACCAATGAACTATAGCTTCTTTCCTAGAATGAGTCTACACACTACGCGAAGACAAAACCAATCACAGTTTGGGGCTTAGTGGTTTGCCTGAACGAAGTTTCTGGAATAAATTATATTAGCATATGTCACCATGCGCTAGCTGAGATTGGAGGAAAGGAGTCAGCAGAGAATATGGATAATGGGAGATTTGGATTGTGTGAAGTTTGTTGTACCCCAAAGCCAAAAATGCTCTTGTGCCATATTCTATGTAAAAGGGAGAGGCTGAGCTTTGCAAAGTTAAAATGCTCCATCAGCAAAGTATGTCCTCAAATGAAGGATTTATCCTTCAGTTGTAGATTACCCTC